TGTATTAATAAAATACCATACTTCCAATCAAACCTATTACTGTTTACTGTGTAGGAATCTCTATACCCTGAAACCAGTCTACCTGAAATATTTTTTATGTTCCCATGAGATTCAAGATAGACAGGTTCAACTGTATATATTGGGTCGATACAAAAGTTTCTGGAATTTTCTATATCTCTGTAGAATATTCAAAAATGTTCTCCAATAGATGGTGTTTAGAAGTTTCTTGTGGGGTGTGTAAATGAAGGGTTTTGAGATGCGCAACAATAAGTGACAAGATCTGAGTGGCAATATAAACTTTTTAAATATGTCAAGTTTGTCAATGCTTTCTTGTGACCAATTTCATACATGCACTTCACAATCATCAGTTTGGTTTAAAAGCAGCTAAATCCTTTTGCCATATGGTGCAATCGTTTGGGAGGAATGTCATCTCAAAATTTACAATCTACAGTTGGTTCAATAAATTGAAGTTTGACAGTGTGAAGTCAAAGATAAGCCAACTCAAAAAGGTTTTCTGTCCTACTGGATACAAGCTGTGGCAGTAGCTGATGGAAGCCAATCCATGCAAGAAATGAACAAAAAACTTGGTTGTGACCAGTCCACTGTAGTTTGTCCACAGTAAGCATTGTGCACTTTCTTCATGACAATGCAAGATCACACATGACAAGATTTTTACCCAGCAGAAGCTGCTTGATCCCAGTTGGGAGGTTCTCTCTAATCTTCCCCATTCAGCCCAGACATTGCACCATCCAACTACTATCTCTTATGCTCTATGTAACACTTCTCGGATGGAAAGCAGATTGCTGATGATGAGATGATAAAATCGCACTTGCAGAGTTTTTCCATGTAAAAACAGCCCAAGTTTTATTCAGCAGGAGTTCATGACCTATTCAATCAATGGAAGAAAGTGCTTGAATATATTTGTAATTATTTGCTTGAATAAACTATTTTTTGTTTTTGAAATAAATGTCATACTATAAAACTCTAGAAAATTCCAGAAACTTTAGCATCAACCCAATACACACAGACAACAAAGTCTGAGAGAACTTTTTAACCTTCATTTTTCTTCACAAATGTAACTTTTTAAATGTAAATAGTTCCATATTCTGGAACATTCTTTTGAACACTTAAGTTGTTGATCATAACTTGTTCATGAACACATTTGTTGTTATTTAGTTGAAGTATGTCAAAGTATCATACTGCGATAATCAACTTGCACACAAGAAATCCATCATCAAAGATTGTTAAATTACTTCCTGTTCCATAAATGACCATTTACAGGATCACAGCTCAGTACAAGATGGGCACACTCAAGGACTATCATAGATGTGGAAGACCAAGAACTGTTAACATACCTATAATGTGTATATCATCAGAGATTACGTAAGGAAAAACCAACAGTAAAGATACAAAACATTGCTCTTCAACTTTGTGTAAATCATGAATCCATCCACAAAAGTTGCAAAAGAGCTCTGCTTCTTACTGAAAAGAACAAGAATATGAGTCTACAAAGATGTCCTGCCCTGAAGAGATTGACATGATGAGTCATCATGATTATTCATGACTGAACAATCACAATCATCAAAATGATAGAATTTCACTACATTGAAATTCCCATGGATAAAATAGTCATCATATAGGACCTCAACCCCTAAAGCCTATAGTCAATACTGGAGAGAAGTCTGTGCTACCTCACACCAAAACTTGGTTCTCTGAGAGCTTCCCTGTTCCATGAATGGGACAAAATATACAAGAAGAAAGTGCAAGCCAACTGTAAGAACTTTACGAAACATCTAAGTCTCTATATCAAGGTTTGTGGAGGTTCCTTTTATATAAAAACTTGTTGTTACTTTTTGTACTCAATAACATATTTGTGACAGTAGTTTATTTAAAGTTAACCAGTAGAAATTGATGAAGTCATGAAGTTTTTGAACAAGTGGGCAAAGCCACATGTGGGTAAGTAAGAAGATCCTCTAGTATAATTAGGGTTGCCACCTGTCCAGGTTTGACCCGGAGACTCCGGGATTGAGTGAGTTATCTCCGGGCTCCGGGGTTAGTTAATATTTCTCCGGGTTGTGCAAGTTGAAATGAATATGTACAAAATTATATGCAAACCGTCACATATATTTCTTCCCCCGTGTACCGAATTACTAGTGTAGTAGTCGTTGGCTTAAAGACATAACGTCTATAACTGGCATAGGCGCAGTGATGCTGCATGCTCTGTAGATGTACTCTTTCTTGTGACTGTTCTATCAAGAGACGTCTATTAATTAATTAAGAGTGAAATGATATAGCGTACATAGCTGATAGTTTGATAATCAGTGTTCTTGTTGGTCGATGATTAATAGAGAAATTGTGGCCGACGTTATCATCGCGAAAATGTATACGTCGGACGTTCAGCGCAGCTTTACTATAAGCCTAAAAGTTTGACAATGGCGTTCGGATAGTCAATGGAATCATGCTCGACATCCCAAACAGCATTGCCAAACTTCTAGGCCTTTAGGAAAACGGCGCTGAACGTCCGACATACACGTTTTTGCGATGAAAACGTCGGTCGCAACCTCTCTAATGATAAGTTATAGTACTGTATATAGAGTTAGACTTGAACAGGTTAAATAGCATTACATAACAAATGGTCTGTTATATATATAACAGACCGTTATANTAGATTATAATAAATATTAAAACTTTATCACAAAAAATGATATTTTAAAAAATTATTTCTATAAACACTTTCATTTTTACATAGAAATAGATAAATTCATCTATTATAAAGGAGACAAACAAAAATTTATTTGAAAAACACAAATATTTGTTTTATTTGGATCTGTAATGAATAAAAAGCAACGAAGCACCATTTTAAAGTGCATTTTTAATATATTTTTAAATAATATGTAGCCAAAAAAGTAGCCTAAGCGCCAAATGATAATTTTTACGTCAAAAAAAAACTTAGCCACATTTGGCACAATGTAGCCAAATCTTGCAACGGTGGAAGAAATACTAAATAAAGCTGGAGTTGTGACTCAGTGGGTTATAGACCCAAATGCGGAGAAAGGAGAGAAAGGGCAAAAGATAAAGAAGTGAGAAAGGTTGGAAATTTAAGTGCCTATATTTTCATAACAGAAGATCTATTTAACCTTTCTCACTACTTTTTATCTTTTGTCTTTTCTCTCCTTTCCCCAAATTTGGGTCTATAACTTTTTGGGTCAAATTTTTTGAGTCACAACTCCAGCTTTATTTAGTAATCTTTCCTCATTCACACATCTCCAAGTATTTGAAATATTTTCTTTCCACTCAAAAATAAAATATGAATAAAGGTTTACTACTTTGTGAAACTTTTTTTTGAGTTTATGCCGTTGAAATAAATAAATAATAAAAAATTAAAACATTTGTTGGTTTTGTTTACACATTTATTGGGCCGCATGCGGCCTGCGGGCAGGACACCCCTGATCTAATGGATTAAATTGGCAGGCCATCCAACAGGTGATGAAATTCTGTTTCCTTCATTCACATAATGTTTTCTAAAGAATTCTATGTGCTGTAATAGCCTTTAGGTTTAACATAATTTTGAACTTTCTTATAATTTGATATTACAAAATTTAAATAAAATAAAATAAATATAGAAATAAATATCAAATAAATAACTGAAGATTAATTTTATAAATATTATTGTTGTTTTTAACTAATTATTTAATAAAGTAAAATTTGTATACAATTTAAATATTGTTGTTATGATGTTTGTTTATTAAATATTAATTGATATAAAATGTATTTACTAATACACTGTAGAGTTTTAAAAATGAAGCAAAATTACAGAATGCAATGCTGTTGTTGCATAAATAATGCATAACATTGCAATTAAGCTAGATATATTTTTAAAGCATTTAATTATTTTTTTCAAAATTCACTTTATAGCAATGAAAAGAGAAGTGCATTTACAGCATTATAATTATTCCATCATGTATCTTAATCATCAACAACACTGACTAATACAGATGATTTTCAAACTAACCTCCAATTTATCTCTTTAAACTAACCAAAAACAGACTTATAGTGGTTAAAATATAAAACCAAAATTTGTTACAAATTAAGCTAATGAATAAATACAATCATTTATTTATTTATTTTTTTACTTAAATAAATCTAGATCTTTCATACTGCTTGAAAATTTTTATTTTTCAGATTATCTTGTGAGTTCTATTGTATGTAGTGCCATGTTTTCGTGTATATAACCTGTGGATTATCTGTGTACATAAAATTTAATTTGAAAAGGATGCAGGTTATGTGATGTGATTCATAAACCAATTTTTAACTGTAATTGCAAAGTTGCAACAATGAACAATGGCTGCTTTATAAGTGCAAGTTATATGGTGGGGTAAAGTATTATGTTTGTTCTAGCAATTTATTTTTGGTGGATCATACACAGAAAAATATGGAACAACAAATACTTATTTTAAAATAAAGTTGTACTTATTGTTATATTAAACTGTTACAGTATAATAGTCATTGTAAAAAAATAACATGATTAATTAACATTTCTTATAATGTAAATATAAATGAATTTTAAGAATTCTATCTAAATTCTTGTCAAAAAGGGAATTTTTGAGTATATTTTCAGTTGATTTTTTTTGAAAATAATTACAATTCAGCTTAAGAACAAATTACATAACAAAAATTTTCTAATTTGTTCATAAATTGAGGTGTAATTACTTGAAGAAAATCACAAAAAACAAATTATATTATTTAATTAAGCTTTAATTCATTTAAAGTAAATGATAATTTTTTCACAGATTATAAAATTGAATATTTTACATTCTAAAATCTCTATGAATGACCTTTTAAAATTTTTTTTATATAATTTAATATCAAATAATGAAAATCTGATTATGATACTAAAAAAAATACTTTAATCAAAAAAGACCAAGATTTAAAAAAAAATCACAATTTTCTTTTATGTATCATCATTTATATAAATTATAAAATTATTAGTGTGAGAAAAAATTACACAAATTTTATTTTCACAATAATATGAAATGAAATAATACCTGAATTTGAGATCTGGTTTATCATGTGTTGTGTATCACAAAATATACAAATATTCACAAACTGTACAGTTTAATATCATTTCTAATTGTTTTGGTTTATAATTAAAAATTCTAATTCTACATCAAAAACATACATGAAATATCTCATAGCTGCAAATTCTCTGGCAAACTGTTGTTAATTCAGTTCTGAAATTTAAAAAACAATTAATATAAATATTGTCTTTATCAAGTATAATATTAAATAGAACAATATATTTTCATATTTCAAAAAATAAAAATTTTTAATTTTCATTGTTAAAGAATAACAACTCTATCCTTATATAACTTTTGAAAAAACAGACATTTTCTATTAGTATTTTAAATAAATGTTTTTGAATCTTGCTATTTATCTTCATCTATAAACTCTAAAAAATTGGCTCCTCATAACTTTTAAACTTTATCAAATTGCATTATATATTTTATTTGTAAATATTCTAAAACTTTATTATTATTATTATTATTATAATCCCAATTATCTTAGGATAGATAAATATTATGCATTTAAAAATATTAAATTTACAATTTAATAAATCTCCTATAAATATCTGTTTTTTTTTTTTTTTTAAAG